CGTGGGCCGGCAGGGGCAGCGCGGGGCCGGCCGCGGGGCTGTACCTGGGGCCAGGAGCACGGGCTTGATGAAGTCGGGGTGGAAGAGGCGCACCACGGGCTGCCAGGGCGCCAGCCAGCACAGGCACGCGGTCTCGAACCCGCGCGCCAGGCCCTGCAGGCCCCGCAGGCCTTCCTCGGAGCTCCGGATCTGCGGGGGGGGGGGGGGGGGGGGGCTGAGCCCAGGGTCCCTCCCACTCCTCATCCTCCTCTCCACACCCTGCACCGCGGCCCTCGGTCCACGTATTGAAAAGTAACAAAAGGAGGAAAAAGGGCCCGGGGCGTGACTCAACTGGTAGGACGCCTGCCCGGCCGCCCGGCCCAGGGTCCACTCCCGCCTGTCACCCCGGAGGACTGCGGTTCAAAGCCAGCCTGGGCAGGAAGACCCATGAGACTCTTGGCTAATGATTCAGTAAAAAGCTGAAGCAGGGGCCGGGAAGGTGGCTCAGTGGTAGAGCGCCCGCCCTGAGCAGGAGACGCTGGGGGGCCGGGCCGGGGCGGCCCTCCCCGCTCTGTCCCTCCCGCACTGGACGGCACCGGGGCCGAGGTGGGGGGAGGCCGGCGGGGCGGATGCGGCGGCCTCCCCGAGGGGAGTGGACCGTGGACCGCCAGCTTTTATCGAGGTTGGCAACGGGGCTCATTGGCACATCGGGCCTCTGTGTGCGTGTGTGCGTGCGTGTGCGTACATGTGTGTGCATGCATGTGCGCGCGCGTGCATGCACGCGTGTACGTGTGTATATGTGCATTGCGTGTGTATGTGTGTGCATGCGTGTGTATGTGTGAGTGCATGTGCGTGCGTGTGGGTATGCATGGGTGTGCGTGCGCCTGCGTGTGTATATGTGTGTGCGCGCGTGTGCGTGTGTGTGCATATGCATGCGTGTGTGTGCGTGCGCGTGCGTGCGCGCGCGGTGGCCGCGCAGGGCTCGCGGCTCGCGCCCGGGATGAGCAGGAGCCCGACACCGGCTTCACC